TCGCAGAGAGACACGGGATTGGCTGAGGCCAGGTGGTCCAACATGTCTGCGCCCTGATACGACGCCACACCACACCACACAACACAACACACACCACATTACGCTACCGATGGATCCAAACGAGCTCGAGTTTTTGGCCGAAACAGTTAGCGTCTCCATCATCCCAAGGTTCAGAATGGATCCAGTTGATCTAATGGAAACCCAGGTAGACTATCTTTCGTATGGTTGTTGTAGAATTGCTGGATGTTTAAAGCCAATCTTTTGCGAATGGTTTCCGCGACAAAATGTTAGTTGTAGTGCTCTTAAATTTTGTTTACACATTCTTTTGTGTCTATGGAATAAATTGACGTAAAATCAAACAGTACCTTTGTCCTATGAATTCTCAATTCATTACTAAAACGCGGGGTGCCGTGTTTAAAGTCTTTAAACTAATTTTCAAAACCCTTATTGAAGAAATCTACATGATGCATGCTCTCGTTAATTTGGTAACAATGATACGCTACCTTTCGTGACTGTTGTTAGTAATAAATGTATACAATAAATCGTGGACCACCGAATCTGAAAGAATCTAAAATGAAATGGCTGACCTAAATGTTGTCGCCAAACGTGTGGTAGTAGAATACTGGTTCAACTTCATTACTTATTCACGAAACCCTCAGTTTTTTGTCGTAACCGTTTTACTGTGGTTGGCTTAATTTGGAAGATTGGTCCATTCTACCCCAATATTCTCGCTGAAGTTCCCCTCTGGGTAGCACTGTACCTGCGTCAACAACAGAAATGCCGAATTGTTCCTCCGCCTTGGTTATCGGTAGAAGGCTTAACAGAATTCAAAGAGGCTGAAGACATGGAGGCCGGATGTACGGCTCCACCTCACCCACATTACACGGAACTAGCTACTTTGTTACTTCAACACGCACCTTCCGATCTAGCAAAGTAAGTTTCTCATCTAACCTGACGCATTTTTTCACAAAGCTATAACGGCTCCTGTGTAAAGTTATATATTAAAGTCTATAAAATTATCGTTTTCTTGTACCCTTAAGCAGTAACTGATATAGTTCCTAATGGAGACCATCATTGTACAACTAGTTTTAAGTATTTTATCTAATTAGCGGTGTGTATGTTGATTTCATGGTAGCCCGCGTCACAGCCCTCAAATCACTACGTTTACAAGGTCAGTACCAAATAAAACCATTTCAACTCACGTTTTGATGGTAGTGGTATTTAAAATAACCGGGAACGTGTTCAAATATGAAGTTGTCTATGAATTGAAAACCAGTTTAACTTCGATGTAAACGTAGCAATGTCGAACAGAGCGTCTATTTACCCACAGTTATGATGAAACCCCAAGTTATAGTACAAGCTATTGGGTGCTACCGAAGCAAACAAGTTGGTATTTGTAGTGGTAGTCCAGATACTATTATTTTGGTCGAATTGGTTGGGCTCCCACCTGTTACTCTCTCCATATGTCGGTACCATCGTGGGTTCCAACAACTTTTGTCATATTTCTATCCATTGCAGTCATGAACAGGTGCGGACGCTGGTGAAGGATTTGTGGGACGCCCGAGTGGGCAAATTCGTTGCATCAGTGAACAGTTTCCTTCTTAGTGGAGCCTCAACGGCTCGCGTGTCTCAACTTACACCTCTTGAGCTAGCCACGGCTCGAAATCTTCTGACGAATTGCCTCGATCAGTTGGCAGTTATACGCGCTGTAAAGGGAAGGGCTGCAGTGTTCGCTGGCCTGTCATCAAATAGCATGTCTATGACAGATGTCTGAGTACAAACCATGAGGTTTTGCATTTACCTTTCTGCCTTAACAGTTGTAAAATAAAGTTATTTTTTTAATTTCATAGATTTGGAATCCATATTTTTGAAGGATGAATACCGGTGACATGCAATGTAAATCCTCGGTATGCATCAATTCAGCTTATTCAAGTGAATGGGGTGTTATGGATAAAGGATTTGCAGGAGCAGAAGCTAGAAAACCAAATAAGTATGCTGAAAACTCCAGAACATGATGGTTATCAGTGTTTTGTCTTAGTTTTTGTAGGGACCCGAGATCTTATAAAACTTGCTGGCGGCTCCTCTTGGTTTGATTTAACCACTGAGGTAAACAGCACCTAGCTTAATCTAATTACGTTGGTTGGGTTTCCGCATCGGTTTTTCCAACAGCTTTCTCATTAGATCTTCATTTCAATCCTGATTAAATGCCTTTTTTGCCTGAAAAGGTTCGTTCACCGTCACACATCCCTAATTTTTAATCTTCCATTGTGACTTAGACCGGGTGTTTTGGCTCATGTCAATTCAGGATTTTGCCTGAGGCACCTTAACCACTTGAAGGATATATTTCCAAACTGTGAAAGGCATATCCCCTTTTGTATTACAACAATTAATATGACTCGGGCGCGTGTTGGACCGTGATCTAGGCTCGTTAAACTCAGAAGATCCTCACAAATCGATCTCCGGCGATATTTTGGTGCATTTTATTGGTTTGTCATTTATTGGACAGTTTAAAATCTGGTGTATGACTAAGTATTACCGATTTTTTCTTTGTGCCTAAAATTATTTTCAAAATAGGAATATCGTCATGGTCTTTTTGGTTTTGAAAGGATCGGACGCAAGGTTCCAGCATACTGAACGACAAGTCTGCGTGAATTACATTACTTCTCAAAATAGCAGAGCTTCTGATGGCAATTGACAAACAGCAAATTCGATGGCACTGCATTTGATACTAATTTCGTCAATAAAAGATGTCTCCAAAGTTTGCAGATGCGGAATCGCAGGCTCTACAACAGGAAGACACAACGTAAACGCAAAAAGAGCTTGCGGCTCAGTTAGGAGTCACTAAAACAGCTTCTTTCAAGCGTTTGCACCAACTGGAAAAAAGTCCATAAACTTCGGAAGTTGGGTTTCAAATGTGTTGACTGAACACAACCTAGGTTGACGAATGAACACATGTTTTTCACTGCTTGCCTACCAATAACAGAAAAGGATTCATTGTACAAAATTGTGACGGGTGGTGGAAAGTATATTTTTACGGGAACTCCAGGCGTAAAAAGCCGCGGGTAGATCCCGGGCAACTTAGTACATCGACGCCAAAGTGGGGCGTTCACTTGAAGGAGGTTCTCCTGTGTGCTTTGTTAAGAAACCTTGGAAACTGGTCAGACGGTGACTGCAGAAGGTTACAGCCGATAAGTGAACAAACTGAGCTAAGAACTTGATCAGAAAAGACCATTTAGTGAGCAAGGAAGCAGGCAATCTGAGCCTTGTCAACAAAAAAGACCAATCCAAGTGCGATTTCAGATCGTCATCATCAATGAGAATCTTTAAGGAAGTTGAAATGGTAATCTGACCCATGGGCTATGCGTCATGACCTCTCAACCAAGATCCAGTAACTTTCCACGAGTTGCAAAGTATGTGTGGGGTTTTGGACTACCACACTGAAACGGGGTTCTTTGTGACCTGTCGGTTTCGACCGTTGGAATTTGCAGCCTAATTTATTTTAATTGTTTATAGCCCGTAAGCACCCGATTTGATTGTTCGATTCCTTGAGAGCAGCTCAAAATCCGCGAAAGCCTCATAATTCCAACAAAACTGACATTTTTAAATGCTATTTAGTCTTTGATTTGGTACACTTTGTTACTTTTCATCAGGTTTTATGCTCGGTGAGAAACTCCGCAAAAATAAATAAAATGAATTTCCAAAAACTCAAAGGGAATTTTTAAAATGCGACTTCTTGACGAAAAATCGCTTCGGTTAGGACTGATTTGGCTGTTACCAAGTCCAGTAGGTCGCCGAGAGCATTACACAGAACTGAGTGAACAATTTTCGGGATGAAAATTTTGGTGCCAATTCCAAAACGGTCATGCTAAGCTATGCACACATAACCCTCACACATTTGTTTGTGTGCCTCAGCACCTGCCTTGGGTTTATGGAGATAAATGAGTCGGGTATGTTGGATTTACTCGATCTTGTACTCCATATTAAAAAAATTGTCATAAAACAGCAGATACAAACCCAATCACACATTTTTTCTCAAAATTAAGCAACCGACGATACCTATCAAATGATAAACGAAAGGCAAAACATTGAAAACAAACGAAATCCATTCTATTTTTGAAAACTGAGGTTATTTCCTTGCGAACCCATTCACTCAATGATAATGTGAGATATGCTTTATCTAATACACATAATCTCAGTGAATATCCTACTCTTGAATTTGTACATTTCTTCGACGGTGACCGGACTTACCGTGTTCAAAAAATTGTACTAGTTTCGTACTCTTATTGCACTTAGTAGTTTGTTGGAATTATGATTGGTTCCGATTACTTGATAAGAACCTATGGACCCGTAGCGATTGGGACTAAAGCTCAAAGCCCTTACCATAAAGCACATCAATGTAAAAACATGATTTGATTTCATGCAAAATTAAGCAGTGAACTCGCTAGCAACTAAATAATGATCTAGTTGTTTAGCAACAAATAATCGGAAAAATAGCTTCAAACGGCTATTTTGCTTCATCCTCTGGTAGTCTGAAATGTGTGGTCGAATCCATCATAGCGCCAGAGTGGTGAAATTGTAACATCAACCTGACAAGGGTGCCTTTCGGGTCGGACTACGGTTGACATGATGTCATTGTCTGACGAAGAAGCCACTGTCACAGTATTACAAGGCACATCCTGGGGCTTCTGCTGATTCGAGTTGCGCCTTGTGTCGATGGTGGCGTTAGTCTCATTGTGGCTCGGAGCGTGTACCCCACTTAGGAGGAGATGTGAATTTCCTGGCATGGGTTGCTGAGTGAAAAAGGATTTCGCCCCCGTGTAGCCGTGCCACCGCGGAGGACGCACCGCACCCGAAGAGGATTCTTCTATCCCTAATCGGACAGGTGGTACATTGTAATGCAAACAACCAGATAACTCATAGTCATCCGCAAAGGGGCAGAACGGCTGCAGGCCGTTGGGGTTACGACGAGCCCAACTACTCACTTTATCTCCCTTCTCTTCAGACATACCGATCCTCCTTTTGGCGCACACTCCCGCCTCCACGATATTGATTTTGTGTTCTGAAAAGATCAGGTGACTTACGAGAGCCTGACTGGATGGTAAAAGACATATTGAACTTTTGTCTGCCTCCTTGGATTTTTTTTTTGCTAAAAGGTCAGGGCGTAGAGAGACATGTCGAGCTTGTAAAATGACTGTCGCATCGCCCCTCTCACTTAGTTAAGGTTTTCAGACTTAGGCGTCACTAGCCCGAGAGATCTCTACACATTATCTCTATTGACCAAGGATCTCAAATCCGGACTTTTGCATTTGTCATTTCTTCTGGAGTTAACAGTGGAACTTATTCTACATTAGTAATAAGGTGGGTATGGGCAAACAAAGAATAAACAAAATCGAACTATCGCACTTTAATTTAGAAAGATATTAAGACGTACTTCAATAGTTAATAATCGATTGAATTGTAGTCTAATTACAGAAATCCAGGCATTTCGTCAATACTTCTAACAGATTTATTCAAATATATACAGCGTCAGTGTTCGGTTTGGGTAAGTTGGACCAAATATGCAGACCGCAAAATCCCTCTCTGGTAAACAATTTTTCAAAGTCCAGGCATATCGAGGTAAGTTGCATTACAGGCTGTGTTTCCTGCAGGGGCAATCAATTAGCACCAACAATGCGAGAGTGAGGAGTTGCGTTCGCCTATTGACAATGACATAAACCACAAATAGGCAAACCTTAATCTTTCATTAACGATCGCAGTTCAGCTATAAGCACATGGCAGCAAATAAAAGCTCAGCAGCACTGCCAAATGAAGCCGATGAGAAACAGCTGGCATAAAGCATGATTTAAGTACGAGTAAAAACGCAAGTAAATCTAAAAAAAAAAGAAACAATTGCCACAAATGGCACAAACCATCAGTTCCAAGGTAAATCCAACGACGCAGCTGCCAAGCGACTCGCCTATGATAGCATTACCAATCTACCCAATTACTGTTTTTCGGATGGATGCAATCGGAGCTGGCCAACGGAAGTACCTCGTCAATT